CAAAGCGCTCAAAGTTTTCTATGTATTTTATGTGGAAAAAACAACTTTCCGTAGAAATGGTATAGAATTCTTATAAAACAATATTTTTCGACCAAAAAACTCTGTTTTTCTGCAGGAGATTCCCTGTAATAATACCAAATTGTTTATTTAACCATTTCTTCATAGCTACTATAGTTCATAGGTACGCCGAAAATGTCAAAAAAACACCAAAAACGCAATTGGGGACACGAATAAAAATTCGTTAGTTTTAAAAAAAATGGTTAAATAAACAACTGAGTATCATTACTGGAAGTCTCCTGAAGAGAACCAGAGTTCTGCGATCGAAAAATATTGATTTTCAAGCATTCCATACCATTTCTACGAAAATCACCCTAATGTACATTAATACCTAATATTTAGTACATTTGTATATTAACATAGAAATAAATATCGATGTATGTATGTATGTAAATTTGTATTTTAAGCATCAATGAGCAACACTGTAAATGCCTGTTTAAAGCCCAATTTATTTCGCCTCACATTTATCAAAGCCATTAGCTGTTTGGCTGACGAGGCAGTACGAAAAATGTGCGCAAAACTCGCGTCTGTTGGTGAAATTAAGCTGCAGTTTACACATTGAATTGATGATAATTTTGTGGTTCTAAAAATTCTTTGACACGCTTACTTGAACATAACATTGATAGCTATGCAATATTTTTCATAGAGATAAGAGCAATTGAGAAATGTTAATGACTTTATATGAACTGCAAAAACTGAGGTTGAGTTTGCATTGAGTGTGCTACCCAATGTGTAAATATGTAGGTATATTTGTATGTGTGTAGGTATGTCACACATTTGTTTGGCTGCTATGATGAAGGATGTCCTTCACATGCCATACAAAATCTAAACTACTACATAAAATTCTTTGTTATTATTGGATGATGACGCGCTAATGAACTAATTATGTACTTAGATATATGTAACTAATCTTTAGAAATAGAAATCATTTCAATATTGTTTACTGCATTATTTGTTAATTTTTTAGTTTTACACTAACAGCCAATTTCATGGAATCAATTTAAGTGAAAAATTATTTTAATTTTTTGAATTTTATAAGGAAATTGTCTGAAAATTAAAAATCATTTTCCATTTAAATTGCTGGTGAAACCGGCTATAACAACCACATATTCTATTTTTCTTACACTAGACTTTCATTTCATCTTTAGTTTTTGCATTGAGTATAATTTTTTTATGACGTTTTTTTATAGCTTCAGATACTTGATTGAGCTTTTTGATGATTTTCGGAATTTTTTCAAACTGTAATTGGTAGTTGAACTTTATGCCACTATTTAGTAATGGAACAAATTAAAACAGATTCAGAGTTTAGTTTCAAAGTTTTCTCTGCTTTTTTTGGGAATTTTTGAGATACTACCTGTTTTACTTTCCGACATTTTCGTAAGATCTTTGGCGATTTTTTATTGGGACCTTTTTTTCAGAAACTCAATCATGTTTATGCACTTTCGGGACCTTACGGAATTTTCATGACCTTTTCGGAGCTTTTTTTTAGGAAAAAAGCTGTATATGGCTGCGAAAAAATACGTTTCGCTATATCTTCATTGTAAACAAGTAATTTTTAATATAAAAAAAAAAAAAAAACCGAACCGTTATTTTGTCCATGATCCCATAATCAAAACGAAATCAAGTTGTTATGTGACCACCTCTAAGGTATCCCCTTTTCAGATTCATAGAATTCGGTTCACGTTGTCAAAAGCTGTATACAATTATCTATTATATGCTCATATAAAAATTTAAGAATATCGTTCGGTTTTTAAAGACCCCGTGATCGGAACTAAACCAAATTAGTACGGGAATTGTTGCAAACGGATCACATGGTTAAAGTTACTAATCAAAAATGTTATAATTTTGTTTATCTTGATTTTTTTTCTTTATTCAAAAACATCACTTTATCATAAGAACTAGTCAAGGATTTAGAAAGATGTAATACTGTTCGATGTGGCCATCTTTAGCGCGGATAATAGCAGCGAGTCTCTCCGGAAATGTTTCACAGATTGTAATTCTTTTTTTCGCATATTTTGACTTCTTCTATGCATATAATTTAAATTTGATAATCACGTGTTGATTTAATCGGTTTCCCGGCATAACTAGTACATAATAGCAAAAATGATTAGTTTTGAGTTAATGGGCTTTCGAAAAACGTGTGCTATGTATGTAAAAGGAATAAAAAACCAAATTTTTGCCACTTTAGTCATTCAAATTAATCTATTGGAATTCCACGTGGCAAATTAATCAGTCAACAGGAAATCTTACTTAGGTCAGCACAGATAAATCAAACGCACGTGACTTTTCCCAGAAGTATATACGTACATATGTATGTATGCAAATAAAACAAAAGTATTTGCTTTAAAATAAAAAAAGCAAAAGTCATTAACAACTAAACGACTTCAAAACCAACAGCAAACAGTGATAAATGTCATTCAAGTTTGCATTAAGGAAAAATCACTAAATGGAACCAGTTTGCAAACGCAATAAAATGCAGGAGCGCCAGTGCTTCTAAAAATATTCGTACTAATGGGGAAAATACCAACACAAAATAAGATGACCGCTAAAGAGTGCACTTGCTAACATATACATATGTACATATGTATATTACTACGTATGTATGTCAGTTCATATGTAAATATGTACAAGTCTTTGCATGCATACATATATCGGTACAACATATACAATAGGGGTATTCAAGATTCGGTGCATACCGTCTGTCATGGTGCATAGATAGCACAAAATAGCATAATTGTTGTTGTTTCATGTGTTCAAACAACATCAAAATTAGCAAATCAGGCTATTTATGCTATTTATGCACCGGATCGTGAATACCCCAAACATACTCGGAAAAAATTTGCGAAATGTCTTACAGCGAGGGGTTTGTTACTCAGCAATCACCCTGGCACTCTGTATTTCGAAATGGAGGGAATCAATGTTCTTTGGAAAAATTGCATGCTCTTGGAAAACCATGCAGGAATCTGAACAACAAGGAGTGGGATATCTGTCACAGAAACTTCATGAGGATCTCTTGTGCGTCAATGTCTGCTGAACATCTGAGCTATCAAGCTGTCGATTCTCTAATTGCCCCTGAAGAAGTTAGTTGCCTTTAATTTGAGGTAACATGTTTTCCTAAAGGTAAATTGACGGTCATAGTTGCTATAATCTTAAACATTTATACTCTTGATCTACTAAGTAGATCCACTATTCTAGTACTGCTATTATCACACCAAATTACACGGGCTATCTTACAAGTCTTAATCTATTCCCAACTCCTCCTTTCTTGCTTCGGAAACTACAAGTGGATTTCTGCAGATAGTTATTTTTCCGAGTGGATATCCTCGGATCCCTGCTTCAGACTCATCCAAGCAGGCTACTGCCTTGGCGAATTCGTCCTCTGTCTCGTTACCTTCTAGCGTAGAGTTATTTTATGTAGGTAATATATCTCATATAGATTAAGATCCTACAGGCCTCTCATATGACCATCACGGGGCAATATCTTGTTACTTGCTTATGAGATGGTAACAAAATTTACCTGTTATAAGAGTTCGCAGAATGCAAAAACTTTACTTACCGGTATAAAAATTTGTGTTATCAACGCAGAATAAGCCTGTAAATTTTTAAGTTCGTTCGTTTGGTGTTACTACCCCAACCTCACCTCTGTAGGCGAGTGTTTTGAGGTGAGTTCAAAACCTCCGGGTATACTTCTACCATCAAAAATATTCTGTTTCAAATCACCTACTGAGTGTTTTAAAATTTTTTCCAGTGTACAAGTACTTTTATAATTCAGGTAACTGGTAATGAGTTTTAGGAATCTCAGCAGCAGAAGCTCATCTCGCACTCAACACATTAAGGCAAGCGTATAATGCGTTAAAGCCAGAGAACATAAATGTGGAGACAACAACAAAAATAAGAAGAACAACAATGACGGCAGCTAACATGACAAGTTTATCAATCAATATATATGTATGTACTGCTATACGTACATACAGTATCTGTATTATCTATAGCACGCCATTTCAAAGTGATATTGTGTGCCACTTATGCTTATTTATTTATTTTTAAGAATTTTCAATTAAAATACAGTTCATTCTCAGACAAACCCCATATAAACCCAAGTGTAACAATTTGTAGAAAACTACAAAAAAGTGCAACAAATTTCCACCTAAATTTCAAACTTTTTTCTCGGAAGTGTAAGAATTTTTTTGAGTACACAGTTTTTTAGCCCCTTCAATTTTAGTCTGATAATGTGCAAGTTTAAGGTGGCTAAAAGTTACCGTTAATTTTTTAGAATTTTTTTCGCCAAAGGTGTTGCGGATTTCTTCCATATAGGTACAAATAAATTGAGTTTATTCATTATATGGAAGCCAATGCGACAAAAAAAATTCTAAAAAATAAACGGAAATTCGTAGCCACTTCAAATTTGCACATTGTTAGACTAAAATTGAATGGGCTAAAAAACTGTGTACTCAAAAAAATTCTAACACTTCCGAGAAAAAAGTTTGAAATTTATGTGAAAATTTGTTGCCTTTTTTTTGTAGCTTTCTACAAATTATTAAGTTTGGGTTTGTATCGGGTTTGTCTGAGACTGAACTATATTTTAATTGAAAATTCTTAAATATTTATAAATAAACATAAGTGGCACACTATATTACTTTGAAATGGCGTGCTATAGATATGACCGATACTGTACATACAAATGTAAGCGGTGTGAAGTCGAGGCGACGGCAAACTGTAGCGATTTCGTCTCGATTACAGTGTAAAACAACAGGCTGCGGGTATAAATATGATATACTTGTACGTACATATATATGTACGTATACACATAAGTGTGAATACAAGTCTGGCTTGATTATCTGAGCTGGCGTAGAGCCGATCACCGGCCGGTTTTTTTTGATTCATTACACATACTCATTTATAATCTTAGTGTTAGTCTTCGATTCGACTCAGTCGCTGGGGAAACGTTGAAGCAGAATTCATGCTTTTGTGAATACGAAAAAATACGCAAAGTTATTTATTTAAAATAATAATATTTATTTGCTTAGTAGTGATGAAGTGCGATTAAAAATGAAATAATACGTATGCATATAGTAAATAATTGTGAATAATTCTTAGCATTTTTGTGATAGTACCAATAAAAAAATACCAACCAACTTAGACGACAAATATATATTTATGAAAAAAAATAAATAAATATACATATACATAAATTTATTTAAGCACACAGAAGCGCAGAGAGATTAACGGTAAAAACAGTAACTTAAAAGCGTAGTCCCCAGACCCCCCGCGCGGTTTGGCATTATTGAATTCTTTGTGTGAAAAAAGAAATAAACCAAAAAATCCCCACAAAAAATGCGTTTATTCAATAGGGGAAAATCCGCACAATTTACCACGCTTCAATGGCAATTTTTCCTGGCCTTTGTCGTTGCGTTATTTTCGACAGCCACAGCGCAGGGTAAGTAAAGTACCTGCAATGCGTACAAGTACATATTTATTTTCATATTCATGCAACATGCGTACATACAAAAAACATGTGATTCTACATATGGTGGACTCCTCATACTCGTACTCATGTGTATTACATATGTACATACATACGTACATGCTATGTAAGCACAATTTGAGCGAACATATGACAGCGTGTGACATCGTCATAGCCATCACCAACTGCACAGCAGGTGGTGGCGGGGGGGTATATAACAAGTGTTTATAAAGGGAATTGGAGCATTAAACATTCAGCGGCTATTTTAAGTTATGCTGCTGCCATGTCTTACAAAGCTAACGAAAAGCGCAAAGGCTTTAAAAATAGCACCACTGTGTAACGGCGCGAGTGTATGAGCATGGACAGCATATTAACAAGTTAGAGAACTGAGAGTTGAGTATAAGTTGCGAATTAGGTATAAAAATAAAAAAAATCTATTAAAAAGCATACTAAATATTTGCATTTTATTTGGTTACAATAGCAAAGTTATTGAAAAAATCCGATATGTTGTATCGTTTGCTGAGAGCAGATCGATAAAACCACTTAAATTCATTAATAATAGATTGGCGCTTACACATATGTTAGTGTTTGGCCAAGCTTCTCCTCCGATTTGTGGCGTGCGCCTTGATGTTGTCACACAAAGCGGAGGGACCTACAGTTTTACGCCGACTCCGAACGGCGATTGTATTCTTATGAGAAGCTGTTTTTCATGGCAGAAATACACTCGGAGGTTTGCCATTGCCTGCCGAGGGACGACCGCTGTTAAGAAAAAACCTTTTTTTCTATATTTTTGCGATGTTGCTTTGACCAGGGTTTGAACCCAGGCATTGTGGAGTGGAAGCGCGCACTGCTTACCACTATACCACAGCTAAATTCATTAGTCAATATAATTATCATTACTTTTAACGATAACATTATTGACAAAAAATCAATATTACTACGCCACTAATATTAGTAGATATACATAAATATTGATATTTTCACAGATTTATGGTTTTCGAAAAAATTTCGAGACTACTTCGGGATACCCGGGACTATTTCGTGATTTTCGGGACCAAATACATACATTTTTATTTATATATTTTTCGAAATATTTATCGATATATTTATCGATAATTTTAATGATATTTTATCTATATATTTATCGATATTTTTATTAATATTAATATCGATATATTTATGGTAATATTTTTCGATTTATTTATCGATATACTTACCATTATAGTTCTGAAAGCACTGCAATTTCAAATTAAGTCTCGAAAATTTCTAAATAGTTCCGACAATCCCGTCAATCCTAAAAATCTCGAAGTGGTCTCGAAAATCCCAAAATAGTACTCAGAATAGATACCGAAAATCCTCAAACCAACTATTTAGCGCTAACATCCAAAATACGTAAAGATGTAGTACTTTGGTATTTACCGCAACATAAATACCGAAATACTTTTGTACCTAGCACATACTACTTTGTAAGTAAAATTTTGCCCATTACTTATTCGAAGATAGTATATTCTGCGAGTTTGTTTCCAGATATGAAAAGGCTTTCACAAACAAAATATTGTCATCACACAAACAAAATATTGTCATCAAACCTAAAAGCTTAATTTTTGCTTAAAACCCCAGAGAAATTGACAGACCTGTGTGACTCTTAACATTCTGCTTAATATTGCGCCGGTCGATGACACTGGTAAGGCTGAGGGGGATCAGGTGCTTAATTGACTTAGCATCTGTGTGTTAGGCCACAGTGATATTGCAGTAAACTAGAAAGGCACCTTTGTCTGGCCTAGGATGAACTAAAGGAGGTCAAGAGATATCCTACGGCTCACCAAGCCCCAAAATTAATTCCGGCAGCTGTACCGATACAGGAATTCACGCCCCAAGACTAAATGTGTTACCGGATCCTTATCGCCGTAGCTGGTTGAAGGTGAAAGAAGAGGAACTCTTACACTGTAACATCTTCCTCCTGATAAATTTTGTTCTTGACATACAACGCTTGCCTCTACGCTTTACCGATAAAAATGGCTATCAAATTAGCAGTCAGTCTCAGTGAGTCAAGTTTTTGAGGGATACTTTGGACAACGGTTGGTCATTAGCAAAATATAATTGGGCAAGACGAACAACTGGATATATTGAAACTAATTATGACTTAAACAGTAACGAATAATGAATTCTGTAATAAGAGATCATTTTTATCCTAGTGACTTTAATAGAAAGTTAACTGCTGTACAACAGTGTAAATGAAGAGCTTGATAAGCAATGAAGCAGAAATGACACGATCAACGCAACGCTTGTACGTGACTCTGGACAAAGAACGCACTTACTTTTAATTAATAGGCAATGCTTATAAAAAATCGCCTTAATTGCCCAAACATAAATAAATTTTTGCAGTGTGCGCAAAATTTTAAATGCGCAAAAGAAAGAGCGTAAAGTGGGCCAAAAAAAAAACAAATATTTTAGTAACTAAAGGTCTGATTATGCATACTTTGCATAACTTCGCACAACCATTTGTACCAGTGCAATAAAAATGTAACTTAGGAAAATGTGAAGCAAAATCTAAACTGAACAGATCGCTAAGATGTTAAAAGTTCTGCTAGTTTCTGGGTAATGCAATACATACAAAATATATACAAAGTACATACGAAATTACAGTTAGAAGTTTATGCGAATTTGTGCGAATTTATGCGAAGTATGCATAATCAGACCATAAGAATGCGTAAAGTGTGAATTTTGATATTAATCGGGATTTTTCGGAACATTTAGGGAATCTTTATTCTTCTTGGAAGTTACCGATACAACTATCGTAATTTTCAGTGTTTTCCGATATAAATTTTTTGTTGGGCGTTGTAGGATTTTTCTGGTATATACATATATAAATACTATTTGATATTTGCTCTGAGTTTTTATTCGGTATATTTAGTGGGAGTTTTTCAGAAGTTTCATAATGTTTCGGGCTTTTCGATTATTTCGGTACTTAGTCGGTATTTTTGGGACTAATTCGTGGTTATCGAGACTGGTTAGGGTTTTTGTGGACTGATTTAGGATTTTTGTTGTAGGGTTTCCAAATTTTCGGTAGCACATATTTAAGTATTTATGGACTGATTCGGGGTTGGTCCATTATTTTTTCAGAGGGTTTCAAAATTATTGGGACTATTTTGGGATTTTCGGGACTAATCTGGTATTTTCGAGGCTACTTCGGAATATTTCCGAATGTTATTTGTAGGTGGAAAACTAAACATTTCAGTGTAATGCTTTATGACCGGCTTAAAGGAAGGAATGAAACCGAATAAAATTAACGTTCCGGTTTTGGTTTCGGTTTTGCAAAGTATTTCGGTCTCGGTTTCGGTAAAACAAGTTTGACAAAAAACTAAAAGTGTTTGCTGTGTTTAGTTTAAATTCATATAAAGAAAAAATAAAATAAAATAAAGAGAACCCTAGGTGTGACAACTCATAAGCGTGAGCACATTTAAAAGGAATTTTTTTCGAACGTGTAAACGGAAAGTATCGCTTGATTTATTTTACTCAAGTTTCAATGAAACCGCACTTTTTTTTTAGTAAAAACTCGCACCTTTACAGCTACCATCGACTTGGTTTCAATTATCCTTTCAAGTCGTGTGGCAACTTGATAGTCAAGTCCAACAGGTGATCATATTTAATTTGTTCAAGTACTCAAAAATTTTGTCAGATTTTGTGTCAGATAGATGTGTGTACGGGAACGTGACGAGAATTTTAAGTTGTTTCTTTGGCGATAGCATATTAAAACGAAAATTGACTACCAAGTTGTGTGCAGCCTACGTTATGGCTGTCAATTCAAATGAATTTTGACAAGCAGTGTGTGTGATCAACTTGAAAGCAAATTCTTGATCGTGTAACGACACAATAATGCTACTGATAAAAAAAAAACTGTTTGTGGTTGCCAGTTCCGGCAGCTGATTTTTGTAGATTTCTGGAAACCGATTGGAACCGGTTGCTATGTTGGAAACGGTTTCAGTTTCGTTCTTTTAATGGTCTATATTTCGGTTACGGCTACAATATAGTTATGTACATATTTGTATGAAATGTCTCTAACTGCGTAAGTTTCTATTAAATTTGACGTAATTTTGCCAAAAGTATTTATATTTTCATTTGATCATTTGACTAGCACCGGTTGGGTTATTGACATGAATGTACAAGTAAGTATGTATATATGTACATATTTTCTGAGTGGATGGCAATTTGGTGCAGCTTAACAGAGAGCAACTGATGTTGATAGACATTTTGATACAATAGCGCACGCCAAAATGTAATGTGGCTAGGCTGTAAATTCGTTAATAAAGGTAATTACCATAACATAGTAGCTTTCACCGTTCGATATACATACATACAGGTGTTTTGCCTTGTTTAACTTAGCGTCAAATAAATAATGGAATTACTTGTTTAACCTCTTTGGAAAATTACAGCCGGCACATTAACAGATTTTTAATTGCTTTTATTTAATTAGCTAGGGACAGCTTGAGAGTATTTGTAAAAAAATTATATTTTTATTGAATTTGGGGCTTCATACTTTGGCAATTTGGTCAGAATACTTTCGCATTGTTTTTAGAACTATGTAAATATGTATTTTAAATTACTGAGTGCATTTACTTTCCAATGGGTATATTTACGATAATGTTTTGGGAGTAAAAATAACATTTTATAATTAAATCAATTTTACCATATGGGGTATTCCATGAGTAAGTGAAACTTTGTGTCCAATTGTAGAGTAGCTTATTGAACATGGAATGCTTGATGAATCAATGCTCAATACCTGAAATTAACGTTTTTTCGAAAAAAAATTTAGTTATATTATTTTATTACACTGTAAATACACTCAAAAC